ACGCCCCCCCCCCACACACACACACACGCGCGCCAGAAATAAATGATTAAGACGAAGTCGACTGCGTGTTAGCGAAACGGAGGCGTTAAAAAATAACAGAGGCGTTAGCATTTTTATATCATGTTGAATGCCGCCGGCGTAATCCATGCATATACTACATAACTTGTGACAACAAGCGACGTTTGCAACGATAATACCTATCAGCTACGCATTAATATTCAATTCTAATATCATCAATACGCGCTTACCCAACATTAGCTTCCATACTATGCGAAACTATTAAGCCTCTTTACATAAATTTGTTTATCTAATGCATGACAGGATCCGCACGCTACCTGTGTGGAACATTTAAGAAAAACACGTTCCAAACTTTATTTCAAGAAACGTATAACCAAATGTTATATTTTTATTTTATTTAAAACCTTTGCATCACAGTTATTTTGTGCGATGCGCGCAAAAGTGCAAAATTTTGTTGAAATGAAAGGTAAACCATTCACGACACGACGGCACGTTGAATTCGCAAACATCGACCGTCTCGCAACTTTATTTTTTTCGTTTGAATTTGACTTGCTGCTTTGACTTTCAGCACACCTTCTCGTCACGTGATTTTGCAGCGATTCCGATACGCATGCGCCAAGGCTGATAGCTGGGAGGTGAGGCAGATCGCTGAATATTGCGTATCGGTTTAGTAAGGGAGTCACGGCGTCCAAATCCACGCGGACCCAAAGTATCGTCGTATTTCGCTGCCGACGCTGTTATGTTTGCTACACTGTCGGCACGGAGATGTTTATTGCTGCGGGAGCGTCCATGTCGGCGATGTCGCGACGCTCAGTCGATGTCGTCTTCGGGTTTCGCTGTCGTCTGCTCCATTCTTTGCCTTTTCGCCGTCAGTGCCGGGGTTAAATATGCCCCCTCCACCCTGCACCAACCCACCCACAAACCAATCACCCGAATTCCTATAATAATTGTGAAGCATTATTGTAGGGTTGCATCGTAATTGCATAAAAAACATCTTATCATGAAGAACCCCTATAACAGAAGATTGTTTCAGAGCGAAGGGCAGCAGAAAGAAAGTTACGGCATTTGATCAACGTTTTAATTCGTTCTACCAACGTTTCCCACCGCAGCTATAGCAATAAACATAATGATTGTATTAGCAGAGTTACCTGGACGCTATGGGTGGGGGCACGACCCTATTTCATCTGAGAGATACAGATTTATAGGTCACCACGATGATCTTCTAGTCAAAGATGAGCCAATTGTTTTTAACGACTCATCTCTGTTTTTTTAAAGTTTTTGTTCTGATTTAGTTATGTCTGATAAATAATATTGACTTCTCCCGTCTTGCTAAACAGCGTTATGGAACAGAGTTGCACTCTGGCCTAGAAAACTGGTTTCCAGTAAGCCAGAAATATCGCATGTCCTAGATTCACTCCTGGATCAGATAAGGATCTAAGACGAGGTCAGGGTCCTATGGTGAGAGGCGTCCGCATGACAAGTCAGCGCAGATTTACATCAGACCCCCAGACAGAAGTTACCATGCAGCCGAGTTTTCGTCAGCAACAACAGTACAAAGTTGTTACAAGTATACACCGCGCGTGAATACATCAATATATATATATATATATATATATATATTACAAAAACTTCACGTGTGCTATTTTTCATAACCGAACAAGTTCTTTTTGCGTTACACCGCGTTATTGCAGACAGTGGCCTTTTTTAACACAGACACTTGCGGGACTCGACCAAATATCTCTATATTGAAAACATGTAATCTGTGTATTCCTCGGGCATATCGCTCCGACGTATCTGGACGTCAATTGTGGCCTTTGTGTGGTTTTATTTTATACAACCAGCCAGTATAGAATTTAGGAAACGGTTTCGACGTGTAATACGCTTATACCAATGTCGGTCGCTGTGCGAGTATATACTGGTTAGTATAAAAGCAGAATCTCACGCATTCATGGTTTTATTCCAAACGATTTCATAGCGAAGCGCATTGTGATGTACATGTTTGACAACGACTGATTACAATATATATGGCTTCTTATCCAACTTTATAGGCGATAAAGCGCATCGCCATGTCGCAGTTCCAGCTATAGACGAGGTTTCTGTATGCACCTACATTGATCATCATGCTGTCGTGCGGGAAGTCATTTCGCAGTTAGACGTGGCGTTACAAACGAGCTTCATGAACAATGGCGATTATATAATAATTAGTTCGCCTCCTGCGTAATAGCCAGCGTACTAAATATGTTTATATCGACCCCACCGATTATAACTTAGAAGCCGTTTGAATCAAGACATTGCTATCAGGACTACTGCTTTTCAGAAGTTTGATTTTCAGAAAGCTTAGCTTTAGTAGTAAATGGGGTGACGTTACATGGTGCCGCCGATAGGGGAGGATTTTGTTTTGTTTTCGTCAAATACCGTGACTAATCGAAGGCTTTTTACACCCCACAAAAGATCCAACTGTTCCGCGTTCTCGATTGAAAAGGATCATGTCAGTCACTGCAAAATAGGCGGTCGAAGGCACGTGTCCTAATTAAAGAGGCAATTGCACAGAATTTAAGTTTTGGTATAAAACAATTGGTTGTATTTGCAGAACACCAATGGTTGCAAGTTTGACTGAGACTCATTTCAACCACAATATGTACCTAAAAGCGGTCGTCCTTGGCAAAATTTGAAGAACGAATGAAAATGCATCGCCATTTTGTAAAGAACAAAATAAAAAAACTTTCGGGTCGCCCGCCGATGAAAAGCCAACAACGTTTGAATAACAATATGTGCTAAATTTGCGTTTAATATAGCATACGGATATTTTCGGGTAACGTATGAATTAACATAAATTGTTTAATATATATAAAATATATTAATTAATATATTTCATATATTTATTCATATAAATTATTTTCATATTACGCCAAAGCTTTTATTCATGCGGGTGCTAACAACGTTGATATGGCCATAGGTTATCTGCATTGCAAAGAAACGTATGAACAAATCTCAATGATTGGCAACGCATTTGCATGTATTGTAATGACGTTATGTGATTAAACCATCGTAGTTGTGTTAGCATAGATTTGTGTGAAACGTGTCATACTATTCTATGGATCTTGAACTGTAAAATGTTTGTTTAACGATTGTGAGAAGGTCAGTATTGGGGTAGGCCCACATCTGGGGATAGGGTTACAATCGAGTTTGAGGAATATATGGCGCATGCGTGCACGCGCTTCGACCAAATTCTATATTTAGTTAGCTCTGCTAGACCTACCCGTAAATATGCAAAATTGCATAGAAACAAATATATCGAACTGCTACCATTGTGAATACATTTACTTAATCTATTACCAGTGCAGTAATAGATGCTTCCTAATTAGCTGTCATATATCATGTCGAGATTTCTGTTTCTCTACGGGAGGGGCGCGAGCGTGCAGGCATTGTCGGGCGGGGAGGCTGGGAAAGGCGATAAATCACAGCGACGTGGAAAACATGATAGGAACGTGAGCGATCATGGATGTATTCGGCTCCGACGACTTATAGAATAATGGTCTTACACAGTGTCACACATGCAAACGAGCAATGTAGAATTTGCATGAGGGAGGCAGTAGACATCGTTACATTTGCTAGATTTATGGTTTCGTGTGTTATGTGCTTTCACTGCTACCAAGCTATCGCGTGTAAGAATAATGCAGACGCTCGGTTAGTTTTGAAGTTTTGCAATATCCGCTCATAGAGCTAAGGTATTGACAAACTAAGGCAAGCTTACAAAATTACCAAGTTAAGTCAAACAATTAGCTAGAGGGTAAGGTGTGCGATCGGCATTCTAGACAGACATCGGTGTCGTCACAGTGATTACATAAAACGATTACATAATTGATTAAAGTCAACAGCATGTTCTCTCAACACTACATTCACGCTCTGTCCCAAGTCTCAATCCTATAGACTTTTACGTAAAGCTGCTTACTTGTTCTTCCTCTAAATGTAGATGTCTTGTTTAGTTTAACAGCTGAAATAAATCTAATCTAATTATCAGAATGTGTGCAACATGTGTATACTTTTCGGTGCGAATGTTTAGTAAGAACTTATGAATGTTAAATTATTTTACTGAGCGTAAGATTCAATATCGTTTTGTAAAAAAAATGTACGTTACAAATTGCAAACATAATTTAACTTGGCGGTGTAATTATAACATTAGTTTAGTGACTATTTTTCTCATTCGGTGATTGATATTGTCAAACGGGCATGTGACAAGCGAGCGAAATCATACTTTATAACAGCCTGCAACGGCAATATCGTCATTATTTTGTTGCTATTATTCCAGAAGACATATTCTGCGTTATATTGCTAATTTCTACTATTTACAACTATTTTACTATTTTACCAATTTTTTCTTTCTCATCCATCGCAACCTATATTCGGAAGGGAAATGTACCACCAACTCCCATGCGTAACACGGTTGCCTAGTCACCCCTTCCCGCTATAGCTGCATTTCTCCCTAACCACCCCTATCTCTTCATTCTTCCTTCGATACGCTCACCCTCCTCCCTCCCCTTCCTTTTTCCTTTTCTAACTTTTTTTGTCCGCATTTTCGCTCTATTTCTCCTCTCTTTTTCTCATACACACGCACACTCCTTTTGTTCTCTTTCTAGGTAGGTCGAGGCGGCTTTTATCAAGCCAGGAACGTCAATCCAACGTAGGATTTCAGCTGTACGTGTCAAAATCACATTTCGCATTACTGTAATAACGGCTGCTGTCAACGTCTCGTTAACGGCGTTAGCTTTCTTAAATAAGCGTAGCGAATAACTAGTATGTCGTTTGACGTTGTAGGAGTTCGTGATTACATTGTCACCTACGCGACATATTAGTTATCCCTTGTAGGTGCCTAGATGACACATAAGGCAGTGACAAGAGATCTCCAACGTCTTCGCTCCGCTGCTACTGGCCTCAGCGTGTTTCATACATACACGACATATAGTCTCGAGAAAAAACACGAATATTTTCACAACACATTTATATCATTCTTTGACTATATACTACCCTGTTACACATATAAATCTAAAACATGATACATGTGTCAATACGGGATTTGTTTGCGCAATGACGACGCTACAAAGTAAAAACGAAACAACTTACGTAACGTCAGTAAAGTGTATGTATATAGAGAATTGTACAGTACACACTCCCGACAAGACACAATAATCCGCCTAAATACACACATGAGAGTAAACCAAGTATCAGACGTCGTAACTAGTATACATCAACTGATCATGCAGAAGACAGCAAGTCTCGCATACATACATAGATGGTTAAATGAACCACGATTAACGATATATTGACACACATATTTTTATTACAACCGAGAACGCGCTAATATTCAGGTAAACTAATACATGTTTTTAAATGAACGTAATTAACACATATATCTGCACAGGTACTTACAGCCTCGACACGTGCGAGTCGCGTGTTGGCTTAATTGCCGTTCGCACCTGCTCCAAGAATGCAGGTAAATCTAATTATACGCAGCTGCATGACTGACTATTAGACTTAGACATTTGGAAACGGTGCTACATTATATAAACTTCCTACATAGCGATATAGGAGCAATGCGATAGCTGCATGAATGGGTAAATAAACTACATTTACATATAATAACAACAATAATAGGTAATTATTTAACATTAAAATAAATAAATAAATAAGTAAATAAATAAATGACGAGGTGAGTATAATATATGCTATTATTTTAACTACTTATATCATTTGTTAGAAATATTTTAAACTTGCTCGTTTGATTTGACAGGAAGTCACGTGCGATATAACAATTTGCCCAAATTGACTTATTAGTGCAACGCTATAGTCAAACTAACAGCTATAAAATAATACATTTATTTTTAACTCTTGGTTTTCGGTTTGACTATATAAATCATAATTAGTAGATTAATTACTAATTACATATTGATGCTGCGTACAATAAACATATCAAAGCGAATCATCGTATATTATAATATTATTAAGTTAATCGAACTGCTATATAATTAAAGTTTAAACGTATGAAAAGTGTGCATATGAGTAAATTTAGCTATTTACAATGCCGTTGTTAGGCGTATTCACAGAGGTCCACGTAAATACGGCTCATGCTCGTAATGTTACTGTAATGTGAAGATCGTCTGTTTGCGCGTAATACGGGAGTATTATGAGGATTGCATTATGGGTTCAAGAAAACTTTTGCTACCAAACACGCGTATACTGTTTATAGTCGTGAGTGTAATTATGAACTTTGCAATACTTTGAACTTTTCCACCGTACGGCTCTACAAACCGTATGCACATCTTACATGACCAACTCTTACGTTTAAAATTCTAGCTAAAGTAAAAAGCAAAGGATTTTCAAAGTACATGGCGATTTACCTACGTTTCATGCAGCCTGCTGGCATCTATTTCGTAGCCGAAAGTTATGGTCTGGCTATATATGCTAGGCTATGATGCGCACTCACAATGCCAATATAGACGAGATTCCTGACTTTTTAATTTGTTCTCCTCTCAAATACGCAACGACTAATGAATGTTCAATTAATGACACGTACAACTGTGACGTGTGTCCGCTTCACTGATCAGTTTGCTTTTCTAACCATTCTGACATCACGGTTTATAACGTCCATTTATTTTGTTTGTTGACATATTAACCTTACGAGGCAATTTTGTTGAAGAATAGCTAAGCAACGCTTAGTTATCGAATTGTGTTGTAGAAATGTTGGACCAGTAAGATACATTTATATGATAACCATTTCCTTTTCAATTAACATCGGAAAATGGCGTGATCCAGTCTATACGAAAATGGCCGATTCATCTTGTCCCGTTACTAACTTGTGCTAAATATGTTAGGGTGACTTGCATTTATCAACGTAGATATGGTAGTTCCCTGTCGCTGCGTTGTCTCGTCTCGGCACTTGTCATCGTTGTTAGTGACAACTGCGAGATTTGGTAGTCGCAGTGGCGTGTAGTAAGCTATGATCGCGATTGCTTGCGTAGATGGCGTCGCGGTCACCACACGCTACATTTCTGTACTGGATTCATTGCACTTCCGAGAGGACAGTTGAATGCTTTAGCAAACTCCGGACTGTTTGAAAGAGGCCCAATCACCCTGAAATATTTAATGTATATATGTGTACAGTAGATATAGATGGGGAGATATAGAAGCAGCGAGGAGCAGATATAGAAGGAAATAGACAGCCATTTCGATGAATGGATGGATGGATGTATGGATCGATCGATCGATCGATAGATAGATAGATAAATGGATGGATGGATGAATGGATGGATGGATGAATGAATGGATGGATAGATAGACAGATAGATAGATACATAGATAGATAGATAGATAGATAGATAGATAGATAGATAGATAGATAGATAGATAGATAGTAAGATAATGATAGATAGATAAGATAGATGATAGATGGATGGATGGATGGATGGGGGATGGATAGATTGATAGATAGATAGATAGATAGATAGATAGATAGATAGATAGATAGATAGATAGATAGATAGATAGATAGATAGATAGATAGATAGATACATAGATAGATAGATAGATAGATAGATAGATACATAGATAGATAGATACATAGATAGATACATAGATACATAGATAGATAGACAGATAGATAAATGAATAGATGGATAGTTAGACAGATAGACCGAGACGGAGAGAAAGAGAACGAGGGGTGGCGTGAGAGGTAAGATAGAGGCAGAGACAGACAGCTAGCGACAGAGGCGCCAGTATACTATAACTGCTAATGTTAATTACGTGTTTTAGCATCCGACTAAAGCTAACCAGTTGACAAGTTACATAAATGTCACATTGAAAACGAAGTCGTTGTTTCACGAGACGAGCGTATGCAGTTGCATGCGTAATGGCGCGCGGACGTCATTGTGCCTGCTCGCCGGGAGCCAAGCCGATGCTATGAATAGACTAGCGCTAGTGGTGCTTCCATCTAATAAATACCGGGAACCCAATGACAGAGCTTTTGTATAATTAATCAGGCAGTCGATAACTAATTTCTTGCGCGTTAACGAAGAATATTTATATGAAGTTTATTTAACGATGCAGCTAATTAGCGTGGTAATGAGGCCACGCAGAAATGCGGACTTAATGATCTTGGATTCTTCCATATTGCATGTGTCTCGTCAAAATTCGCAAATTACATTGTGACCCTCTCCGGGCGTACTAAGTTATATCTAATTATATCCTACTTTCGATATGGCAGCTGGTGCATTCGCATGCACATAGCTATGAATGAAGCGACGTTTAAGCCCGGGTCACAACGGATCGTACGAAATTTTGTCGTGGTAGACCCATAAAATATTTGTCGTGGCCAGATCTTGCAACATGCCCGAAATGTATTTCGAGTGGTCACAAGGGCTACGACACATTAAAGATGGTTTGGCGATGGGGACGCGACAAAAAAAAGACATGTCGTGGTTATGTCGTGGATGTGTCGCAAGCCAGTCGTGCGACAGTCGTGAGTTGTGGGGCATTGTCGGGGGGCTGTTTTTCACGTGAACAGGTCGTGGTTCACTCGTGGGATGCACGTGCTACAGTCGTGCGACTGGCGCACAACAGTCGTGGGTCACTCGTGGGACGCTCGCGCGTCCGTCTAAGTTAGTATCCAGGATGCCTCCCAAGAAGAAAACCAACAAGAGAAAGGTGGTAAAAGTGGCTGACGACTCGGTGACTGCCGGTGACCCTGCTGATGTCGTACCTGAGACTGAGGCTGCCGAGGCGGAGGGTGAGGAGGAGGCTGCAGGCACTGGAGGTGGCGCTGTCCCCAAGAGAGCGAAGAAGGCTGCGGGCGGCAAGGCAAAGGCAAAGAGCAAGAGCAAGACCCCCGACGACTACGGCGGCACTGTCATCAACATCGCCCGCCCAGACGACATCTCCGAGAAGCAGGAGTTGAAGATCGTGGCCTGGGTGGAAGATCCAAGAGACTCCATCCGCATGAACCCCACGAAGTCACCGGCAGATTCCCGCTCCAACTCTTGCATCAGAGTACTATACTGCCCAAACATCAGGCGCCGCTCGATCCACGGCCGAACCCACCAACGTCGGGGGTTTCGCCGGTTCCTGCGCTGCTCCCGGGCCCGGATCAACGCCAACATCACTATATTATGCTCGTGCTGGAGTTCCGCCAGACGCCCCCTCAGCAAGGTCACGCGTAATCGCTCAAGTGGAATAGCCATCCTCTTTCAGCGCCGACAGACAGTTTTTATTTCCAAGCGTTCATTCGCCCGAGCTATATACCCCTCAAAAAACGAAAATATGTTGCAAGACTAACGCAAGACTAACGCACGACAGACTTGCAATGTTGTGCTAGCCTCTTACGAAATATAATATTCGTGAGACAATCTTGCAACTGTCTCACGACTGTCCTGCGACAGCCGTGAGACAGTTGTAGGACAGTCGTGCGACAGTCGTAAGATTGTTTGACTAAACTTTTTTCTTCTGGCACAACAACAAGATATTTATCGCACGACAGTCGCAAGACTGTCGTAGGACAGACTCACGACAACCTGAAGACATAGATACCACAAAAAATCGTGGAACAAAAAAGGTGCATGTTCAATTTTGCCTCACGACGGCAAGTCGATGCCACGATGCTCAAAATTTCGTAGGACTGTCTTGCGACGACCCCCGATGACCCACGATTTGTGGTCCACACTTAAGCCTCGGTCACAACGAGCCCACGACGCATCTGTGCCACGACACGACAGAAATCGTCGTCGCAAAACAGTCCTACGAAATTTTGAGCATCGTGGCATCGACTTGCCGTCGTGAGGCAAAATTGAACATGCACCTTTTTTGTTCCACAATTTTTTGTGGTATCTATGTCTTCTGGTTGTCGTCAGTCTGTCCTACGACAGTCCTGCGACTGTCGTGCGATAATACGTCGTTATATAGTCGGGAGACGGACGCGCGAGCGTCCCACGAGTGACCCACGACTGTTGTGCGACAGTCGCACGCGCATCCCACGAGTGAACCACGTCCTGTTCACGTGAAAAACAGCCCCCCGACAATGCCCGACAACTCACGACTGTCGCACGACGGACTTGCGACACACCCACGACATAACCACGACATATATTTTTTTTCTGTCGCGTCCCCATCGCCAAACCATCTTTAATGTGTCGTAGCCCTTGTCACCACTCGAAATACATTTGGAGCATGTTGCAAGATCTGGCCACGACAAATATTTTATGGGTCTACCACGACAAAATCTCGTACGATCTGTTGTGGCCCGGGCTTTACACGTACCGTTTACCATTATACGTTTACCGAGTCGTCCGCATTCTTTCATCTATAAGTGAAACTTTGTCATGTAAATCGTCTTTCGAATCAAATTATTGGATACGTTTTTATCAGTGATAATTGCGAATGCTAGCACTTCTCTACATATATTCGGCAATATTCTGCAATATTAGCAGCAGTATGTTCACTTTATTGAACGGCATATCTAAGCGGACATTTTAAGCGGGTATCTCTTTATTGAAACAGCGATGCTTGTCGTTTTATTCTATGATAATAAGTAAGTGGTCGGTGGTCGGATTTCTTCTAAGGGCCGATGTTGTTCATCTGCTGCGAAGAGCGCGAAGTTAATGCGAACGTAGCTGTACTGCAATTTTGGCACTGCCCAGGCGGTCCATCTTTCTCGTAAGCATATAGGCACGGACGGGGGGCACACGCCTGCGAATGAGCGCAACAACGAGCGAGCACACTCACGCGTGCAGAAGCGTGTAAGCTAAAAGTGTGTTTTCGTCCCTCAGCTATTCGCAGCCTATCAGTGAAAGTACACAGCAGTTTTCCAGTCGTTGCCTCTCGTATTTTCGATCGGCAGCAATTTTCCTCCAATGCATTTATACCTAGACACAAGAGTTCGCCTTACCTATACTTTTCTACAGCATGTTTCCACGTCAATATCCTCCGGATGGCGTAGTCCTCCCTTAGCTTACTGCACCACGTCTACAACCAAGACAGCGCTCACAACATTCATATAATTAATAGCGGAGATGTCGGGCACTCAATTAAATCTCTGCCTCGTTAATTCGGCAATACTTCTGCGGAAGCATAGATTATAAAATTACACGTTTCGCTAGAGTCGGCATCTAGTTCAATGCTACCCTCCCCCCAATACACCGCCTACGTATACTACACACCTAAACCTAAACGAGAGGGACGTCGATGACATTGGACACACAATTAGTTCTACACACTTAGATCTACATGTCTGTGTGCGAGTGCGAGTGCGCGTGCGTGTACGGGGTATGCGTGCCCGCGTGCGCGTGAGTTTGCGTATGCCGTGTGTGTGTGTGTGTATGTGTGTGTGTGTGTGTGTGTGTGTGTGTGTGTGTGTGTGTGTGTGTGTGTGCGTGTGTGTGTGTGTGTGTGTGTGTGTGTGTGTGTGTGTGTGTGTGTGTGTGTGATGTGCTGTGTGTTGTGTGTGTGTGTTGTGCGCCGCGACTCACGTACGTGTGCATGAGTCTGCCTGTGCAGTGCGCAGTATGCCTTGATGTCGCGTATTGGTGTGTTACGTACCGTGCGTTGCGTGTGTGTGCTTCTGTTGTGGACGTATGGTATCTTGCTCGCTTCCCCTATTCGCAAGAACGTGCCATTCGCTATTGCATTAATTCAGTATTCCTGACACTCCAGGCTTTTCACATGTATTCTACTGGCGGAAAGAAAATTGAATTGGGTTTTATCGCATTTCAAGCAATCACAAACTGAGGTCTCACATCTTTAACCTTAACGAAAGATTTCTGTCATGATTAGAACACCTTGCTCCTGCCGTTGAGCTTGAGCTGGGACAGCGCTAGGTATTCATTATCGCCATTTCATCTCTACCTCACTTCTTGTACGCCTAGAAAATGACACCTGATTTATATGTCTCTCCTATCTCTCCTGCTCTTCTTCGTTTGCGACGCGCGCGTCGCTCGTCTTCTCTTCTCGCTCTCTCTCTCTTCTCTCTCTCTCTCTCTCTCTATTTCTCTCTCTCTTCTCTCTCTCTTTTTCTGCCCTCTATTTCTCATGTCTCCATCTTATCTACCTATCAATCTATATACCATCTATATATCTACTCTATCTATCTATCTATCTATCTAATCTTATCTATCTATCTATCTATCTATCTATCTATCTATCTTATCTATCTATCTATCTATCTATCTATCTTATCTATTCTATCTATCTATCTATCTATTTATCTATCTATCTATCTATCTATCTTTATCTAATCTATCTTATTCTATCTATCTATACTATTCTATCTATTCTATTCCTATTTAATCTATCTTCTATCTATCTATCTATTCTATCTTATACTATCTTAATTATCTATTCTATCTATATATCTATCTATATATCTATCATAATCTATCTATATATCTATTTATTATTTCTATTTATCTCTATCAATCTATCTATCTATCTATACTGTTTCTATCTATATATCTATCTATCTAGCAATTATCTATCTAGCTATCTATACTATTTTCTATTATCTATTCTTATTCTATCTATCTATCTATTCTAATCTATTCTATCGTATCTATTCTTATTATATATATATTCTATTTATCTACCTATCTACTCTATCTGTCTATTCTATTCTATCTATCGTATCTATATATCATATTAATCTATCTATTATCTTATCTATCTATTCTATTCTACTCTATCTATGTTACCTATCTACTCTATCTATCTTATCTTATTATCTATCTGTCATATCTAAATCTATCTATTCTATCTAATCTTATATACAACCTTTTTAATACTGCTCTTGATAATAGCGGGGGAAAAAACATCACTCCTTGATATTGTATATGTGTTTATTATTTTGTAATATTCATAAGAAACATAATTAATTATATTATATATTATATATATATATATTATATTATATATAATATATAAGTTGTAATAGCCTGTTATTTAGTAATATATGTAGTTGTTATATATCTAAGCGGCATTTTATACTTTAACAATATTAACATCGCAGGTAGCGCTTAGTACCTTTTTTCATAACCGGTCTTCACATTTCGATTATTCCTTGTTCGCACAGACTCGAAAAACTATTACTACCGCTTTCCTAACGATTTCAAATTTAACCTTTTTTCGGATAGAGGAGCAATATATTGTATTTTCACGTAATGCATTTGATTGCGGCATTGCGCATGTATAGGTCGCTCTATCGTGCGTTGCCGTGCTCAGACCACTCGATTCGTCATGGTTGTGGCTGACAGAAACATGCAGATTTTTTAACAGAATCCATCGTACGTGAGCCGTAACCGGTATTTGTAAGCGCGCTCTAGCTACAGAAGCCGGGTGCATTCAAGCTGCATTTTGCTACACGCTTTAGTTAAGAAGTAATACAGTGACCGTATCCATAAACGCGGTGTGCGCATTTAAATGATTTTAAATTTAGTTTATCATCTGAAGGTTAATGTGCGGTACTGATTTGAGCGAGAACTGCCAGGCATGTTCGTTATTGAAGCTCATGCCATTAACACTTTCTTTTCAGATTCGAGAAATGGGTTTAGGACGGATGTCGACTGTATTACAGATATAAAGCGCCCTGAAGGTTTTCGTCGTGTCTCCGTTGTTTGAATGGTTTGTATCCATAACGAGCCGTAATTCAATGATAAATAAAATCTATTTGAGATATCGAATATGAAATCCAATCGCAGTAATTGCCATGTTCGCGTTTGTACAACTATCAAATAACATTGCATGGACGCAGCGTTTAAGGCGTCTTACGTATTGTAAGCTTAAAATTATTCTATGCGTTTCCTCGTTTCGCAAACCGGATGTACGATCGTGCGTTGGTGCTGTGGTTTTCGTGTACGTGTGTGAGTGGTCGCGTTGCGTGTCTGTGTTTTTTTGTTACCGTGTTGTGGGAAGTGGCAGCGCTGTTCTGTGCGTCGCGCGCGCGCGCGCGTGTGTGTGTGTGTGTGTGTGTGTGCGTGCGCGGGCGCGTGCGCATGCGTCTGTGTGCAGGCGGCAGCGTTGAATGTACCTGCAGCGCTTGTTTGGATCCTCCGTTATCAGCGATGTTCTCTCCCTGCGTCTGCGTTCCATTCAGCTGCAAAGGCAGAAAGGAAAAATGAAGGTCGTGCTCGCCGAGTGACCGCTTTCCCGCTTCCCCGACAATATCCCGCCGCGACGGCAACTGTCATGGCGGCGCGTGTGACGGCTTCTCGTCACGAGCACGCCTCGCAGAATGCACTGCCGTCTGCAAGAAGATATTTCGCAGGGAGAATTCCACACTGCCATCCCGTCACGCGGCTACATTGCCGAAGCAGCTGCTCAATACTCCATGGCTCGGTACCCGCGAGCACTGGCATTAATTATTATTTTTTGATTCGATGGGTAGAGGTTTTTTCGTGTTTTTGACGAGTTATGAGATGTTGTTGTACGTGAAGAGGAGGAGGAGGAGCAGCAGCAGGAGGAGAAAGAGGAGGAGGAGAGGAGGAGCAGGAGGAGGAGGAGGAGCAGCAGAAGGAGGAAGAGGAAGCGGGCGCGAACGAGAAAGGGAGAGGAGGGAGAAGGAGAAATGGGAGGAGAGGAGGAGAACAATGAGAAGGAGGAGCAGGTGATGGAAGAGAAGAAGGAGGAGAGCCAGTAGGATGAAAAAAGGAGGAGTGGAGAAGGAATAGAAAGAGGACGCGAACGAGGAAGGGGGAGGAGGATAGAAGGGCGAAGGAGGGCGACGAAGAGGAGGCGGAGGAGAAAGAAGAGGAGGAGGAGGCGGAGGAGTAACGCGGAGTTCTGTGGCGATGTTGGCGCAATACCTGCCATACTTTTCCATTAGCGCGAATCGTATAGTTGTCGTACTGGCTGACCATGCACTTAGTCTCTTCGACGAAGTTCGCAACATCTTCGTCGTGCCACCAAGCCTTAACGTTACCGTCTTTGTCGAACTGGCGTCCTTCGGGAGAAAACAAGCAAAGCAGCTGCGCGTTACCTATATGGCGTTACTATATACGTTGTAAGTGGCTTTCACGTTGGGCGGGTCGATATGCGTGTAATTTTAAGCACAATTCGGTGCCTGCGATGAGATGAACCGCGTTGTTCCAGTAGTGTAAACGCCCGAGGAAATTCTCGGCTTTGCGAGCTGCTTTCATTAGGCTGCGTATATATACTAGCTTTCACGGCGATCCAACTCAATGCCGCGGCAGAGTGTATAAAGCTGTAGCCGTGGCAGTAGCTATAGTCGTAGCAGTAGCTATAGCCGTGGCAGTAGCTAAGTCGTGGCAGTAGCTATAGCCGTAGCAGTAGCTATAGCCGTGGCAGTAGATATAGCTGTAGCAGTAGCTATAACCGTGGCAGTAGTTATAGCCGTAGCAGTAGCTATAGCCGTGACAGTAGCTGTAGCCGTTGCAGTAGCTTGAGCCGTGGTAGTAGCTCAGCCGTGGCAGTAGCTATAGCTGTAGCAGTATAGCTATAGCCGTGGCAGTAGCTATAGCCGTGGCAGTAGCCGTAGCCATAGCAGTAGCTGTAGCCGTAGCAGTAGCTATAGCCATAGCAGTAGCTATAGCCGTGGCAGTAGCCAACATATCAGTAGTGTAGCGCGTCTAAGGCAGTAGCCTAATAGAAAGCCATAGCGTTGCTAATAAGAAGCCGTGCGCAAGTA